CTAAAAACGCAGTTTTACTGTATTTGGTCCATAGTTCGTGTGTCCTGAAATTTTTTAGTTTTTGTGGCACAGTGTTATTCATAGTTTTGAAATATATTTCATGAAAGCAAAAAACAAAGTACAAGATTAATTTTTAACTTTCCCGAAGTTCTTTAAATAAATCTTCAACTAAATACTGAAGTATATTTACGAATATGACTGTTTGTGCAAGTATGTGCAATGACGAACTAAGTTAAATTCGGGGGTCCAATTCAATCCATTTATTAAACAAATTGTACATAAAATAGCGAGACGACAAAATATCCGTATATTTAACAAAGAACTAAACTTGTTGACAGTAAAATCAGCGCTGAGTTAACAACAAAACTGAGTTAGCGAGAAAACAAAAAATAAAACTGTTTTTGGATTGACCTCTGATCGTCGATTCTGCAGAGCGGTAGAGAAAGCAAAGCAAAATTACTTAAAGAATAATAGGAAAAGGAATTGTAATGACAGGTGTGCTGTTGCTGTTAGATGTTGTGAGAGCCAGCGTTTCCAAAGCAGTCCAATCACGTTTTATTGTATGCTTAAATTTGATTTCTTAATTTTAGTAAGTATTTCTTTACTGCATTCACCTGAATTTCGGGGGTTACTACTAGTATTTGTAAATTGTTAGTTTAATTTCTTATAAAATTTACCTTTAAGCTTTTGCATTTTAAGCATACATCGAAAATTTGTTTTAGAGAACCTATTTGAAATAATTGCAGAAACGATTGACCGATTTGCTGTGCAATCGAGACGTCTGATTTTTAAATAATTTTTGTAAACAAACCGGCAAGTACATATGGTTCCCCGCATGCCAGAAACATGAATGTGTAGAAATTAAAATTTTGGGAAATCAAGTTTGAATTTTTTACGAGACTTAACTCTGCATTCATGTAATTGACATTGTCAAATATGTGGTTTCCGCGTACGCATGGTATTCTGGGTTTTGGTATAACATAGGACATCCAAAGGTTAATCAAGTCAACCCAATAACTTAAAATTGATAAATTTGCACATTAATGCTTCTGGCATTTGTTTATACGCCTGTCCTACATATCTTCGTGGTAAGAAAATAGTAGTCATATTTCGACACCTGAGTGGAAGATCGACCTATCTCGGCAGTCAGTTCGAAAACGCACTATATCAGAAAACTTTTCAAGAACGCCTTGCTTCAGAATTTGATTGAAGAACGTCTTATTTCAGAGTTTTATTGAAAAACACCCTATCCCAGGTTTTGGTTTAAGAAGGCCCTATTTCAGATATCGGTTCAAAAACGCCCTACCTCAAATGAATATGTATTGAAAATGTGCTGAGATTGACAGTTCAAACTTTGACAACAAAGCGCGAAACGCAGAAGGTATGCTACAATAAACGCTTTGACAGCTTTTGCGTTCTCATTTTCTTCCATATATTTTATCTGTAAAATAGATAACAATATAATAATATGCATTAATAATAACAATAAAAATTCCTATTTACCTTATTTTTGTCATTAAATGCAAATGCAAGCGCACGAGAAAAGATACATGTAGACAGCTGATTGCCAAAGCGGGCAAAAGTTGAGAGTTGCCCAAGATTTTGCTTCGTTTTGCTTTGCTTCAAACGTTTTTTATGTGAGCATACTCATGCATATGCCTACATCGATCTTATATGTCAAAGCAAAGAGCTATCAAGCAAAGCGAAGAAAGTTGTATGTGAATCAGCCTTTAAGATCTAGCATAATGGCGAGATCGTTGTTTAAACAGCGCTTGCAAGCCAAACCAGATGTGTCAGGTTTTTCTAAAGCTTTTTACAAAGAATTCTTCATTCTCATTCCTTTGGCTGTTTCAGAGTTTGGGAAATCTGTAACTTCATCCGCGATTTTCGATTTTAGTTTTTGTGATTCATTTTCAATACTTTCTTCTACGACTGGTTTGAAAAATTTGTGCTTATAGCGAGCTAAATAGGGGAATATGCAAAATAAGTTATTATTTTCCAGGATTGAAAATTTTGAACAATATTCTGTTTTCAAAGTCGTAGCTGCCAGCCGAATCGGATCAGAATATTGTTATTTAAAAAAAATACCCTGATTTTTATAAGAATTTGAATTATTGGAATTACGGATATGAGGGTCTCAGATAGTTACGTAATTCTTATCTAATTAAAAGTTAGACCTATAGCTTTTTAATTATTTGAGCATCGGTTCTCTTTATAGCCAGACATTGATCATTTCTGCCAGAAATCCCTATTGAAGTAGCTTACTCTTTGACTTTAAATAGCAAAGAAGGGAGACGTAGGGGGACAGTTTTACCACAGAAGTTTTTAGCCAAGGATCTAGTGTATATCCCCATGAAAAAAATATTGCCCGACAAGTAAACAAAATCACTGTTTTTAAAATTTTTGCTAGAAATAAATTCTCCAAAGAGGCCCATTTGAAATGATTAAAACGAATATATGTAACATCAAAAGCAAATCACGAAAATTTGGTTAAGAATTACAGTGCACACTTTCTTCCTCTGTGTCTAGTAGTTTTTTTTTAAGATTGGTCCAAAAAAATCTGAATAAAGAAAGAAACCAATGCAGATATTTAAAGTACAGAACAAAAAAATATTATTAAAAGGACTATGTTCTCTTTGACGTACCTCAAAGATCAAGTAGAAGTGGAAACTTGTATGACTGCCCATTGATAGTTCGGTTATATAGCTTACGAAATAATAGGGCGATTCATCAAAACGCGAAAATGCCTCGTAACCATGTAAACCTTGTAAACTTACTTTATTTTGTATGAAATATCTAATTAGTTGCGAGGTTTACGTGATTATGAGGGATTTACGCGTTTCCATGAATACCCATAATATGTTTAAAGACATTTTTATCAAATTTGGGATACAATTTGTCATTTTGTTTTCCAGATATACGTTTTATCGTTGCACTTGCGCAAAAGCTACGCATTGATTATTGCGAATGCGAATGTTAAAATGAATGCGGAAGCTCCGCGGTTGCGAATGCGAATGCGAAATTCTCAACAACCCTGGTACATATACATAAGTATTATTTCAGACTGTCTTATTTCTTACTTCCAATACTGTGAAATTTCTGTGCTAATATCAGAGTTTTCGATTTCTATTAGAACAAAAAATACCAAACACGCTTACTCAAAAAAGGAAGTACGCTGAAGTATCAACATGTATTACTTGTTTTCCTAGCACTTACTCGTAGAACGGAGAACTAAACCGAGTAGTAAAAGCTTACAAACTGACGCACAGATGAGCAACATGACGATAAATGAGCTATACTGCATGTTTATAAACGCAAATGTACATGCAATTTACTTACTACATATCATCGTTTAAAGTGCAAAACCGCGTATCAACAAATGTAAAACCGCGTATGTAAGGTTGCATAAATTATTTTCTAGAGAGTAAAAACACTCATATTTCAAAATGGTTCTCATATTTATAAACCAATGGCCAGTGATCGGACTTCTACCACATTGTGGTAGATCTGCCACTTTTTGAGCATTTACCACATCTACCACTCAAGGTCTGAAATCTACCACATATTCACGTTTTTGAGTAGTTTTATTTTTGCTTGACATAATTTTCTCAACTTTAAGAGCAAAAATTGTCCAACACTAAACACTATATGGTAACAAAAATGATACAATACAAGATTCCGCATTCCCGGCGACGATGAAATTTCTCAAGTAAAAGTAAACAAATCCGAATGGGAGAATAAAATAAACTGTAAAATAGTAAATTTTCTCAGTAATAAATTTTTCAACAGAAAACGCGGTTTTATTGTGTTAAATTGCAAAATATATGATTTATAAAAAGAATTAATAGCAAAAATGTTAAAACACGGCGGTTTTTGTGAAAGTATTAGCAAATTTAAGTGCCTGAAAGGTTTCTGAGGCGCTGTTTACTTTTACTTGAAAAATGTAAAAATCCACAAATCCCAATTAGCTGTTTCTGGAACGTGCCACATTTGTTCGCTACTTCGTGATGTGATAAAAGAAAAGCTGGCAGCACTGCGCAAGGTTGCAGAGATCTTTTATAATATGTATGTTCGAAAAAATATCTTAATATGGAAGGAACTGCTTTACACTGTCAAGGAAAAAAATTTCCGAAACTCAACGCAATTTTAAGCAACTTTAATCTTGCACTTTATTATGCTAAAATTAAATTTTTTTAGAGTCTAATTAAAAAGTATGTCATATGGGTGGAACCTTGAAAAATTTTTAAATTTTTGTACAAAGTTTGATCCAAACCCAAAGATTTACCATATTTTTTTGAAATCTACCACATTTTTTTCCAGATTCTACCACACAGAATTTTTTTAAAGTCCGATCAGTGTTTCTGGCTAGTATATTTCAGGTCGAATGGATAAGGATTGAGTGAGGTTGCATAAATTATTTTGTAGAGAGTAAAACCACTCATATTTCAAAATGGTTCTCATTTTTATAAAGCAATTGCATTTCTGGCTAGTATATTTCAGGACGAATGGATAAGGATTGAGTCAAGAGCTTGTGTGCGAAAATACAATTTTAGGCAAAAAATGTCAGTTACGCGGTTTTGCAGATTGACGACACGCGGTTTTATACTTTAAACGACGATACGAACATATGTATGTTCATGTGCATACGTACATGCATAATATACCTCTCAGCACGGGTAACCGACGCTTCAAGCCGGAGGTACGAGTAGATAGATAGTTGGGCAGTTTGCAAATTTGACTTAGTTTGATTCAACACACTTGCGCGCGTGGTCAATTCTGATAGGAGCGGGATTTCTGTTATTTTCGTAATTTATTTGTGGTTTCGGTCCACGACTTGGATTTCACGCCTATTGCGCAAAGAACAAAGGATACATTGTTGAAGACCAGTGAAAATACTTATGCGAAAATATGTGTGTTGTTTACGAAAAAGTTCTATTTACGATCCTGTTTGAAGAGTGAAAGTCCTTGACCATAAAACTAAAAACAAATGTAAAAAAAGAATACAATACATACATATGTATATTCACACAGTTATGTATGTATGTACTATACATATGGATGAATATTGTTGACTTTAAGTGTTTGACTTCAGGGAGTTTGAATCTTTACAGGATATTTAGTGTTGCCCTCAAATTGTAAGAGTTACAACGGTAATCATTGCAATAGTGCAAAGAGAACAAAATTCTGAAAGTTATATTGCGTGATAGTTGTCTGCGATTGTCGTTTTATTCTACATATAATTTTTTTTTTTTAATCTGAAATATTTTGCTGTGAAAATTCATCGAATTGCTTTTAGGTAAGTCAGATTTAAGAATAATTATTTCGCCACTTATTATTAGTTCTTTATTATGGCATGTAGTTATACTCCAGTAAAAGAATTATATGTGCGATACTTCAACTTCAACTAGTTAAATGAAAAATCAATATTAGATCTTGGTTATTTTTTCCTAATAACTGTATTCATTAACTCTATCAAAATATACATCACTGTATAACAAGATAATTTAATTGAACCATTTTGTTGAAAGTTTCGTACAAAATATTTATATGTGCAAAGAAACAAGTTTTAGGTTACCGAATATTTAAAAAAAAAGTTTTAAAGATAATTTTATTTGTTGGTAATGGATTGTATTTCTATTACAAAAATTTTATTTTTGTAAAATGCAAAAAACGAATTTCGTGCCATAGACTGGGCTGTGGTTTAGCGATTTATTTCTTCACACTAAGTACCAAACCTGTGTTTATTATTAATTGTTAACTTTTACTTGTGACAGAGAGATTAAAATACATTTAAATTTTTACGGTAAGTCATGCTGTTCCTAGTAGGTAACCTTTAGATATGTCATTTTCACTTTTGGGGATTGTGTAGGGCCACCAAGCTTACTATTTCCATAGTCGTTGGGATTTTTTAAGGAAAATCTTATTATATTCTGCTGTCTGACTACTTCAGCAGTTATTTAACTACCTTTCATGCACAAAAATTCATTACTCTTATATTTCCGGGCTCTTCTTCAGATAATTCAATGCCATGTGATATTATGGGCCATAATATAACTAGGAAAATAGTAAAACGGTTTTGATTATGAAGATAGCTTCTAGCTTCTATGTGTTTAGGTTTTTACCACACAGTCATTTGTGTAGTTTTCTGTTGAAAATATTTGACACTGGAGTACATAGGCGGAAACTGAATAGTTCATTTTGCACATATAAATATTTACTATTGTTTGTGATAACGGTAGTTAAAATTATAAAGGAACATCAGCTTAACAAATGAAAATACTTATAAACTAAAGGCTTTTATAATCGCATACAGCAAAAAGTTTTACCCTTCTTTCATAGAGCGAAAATAAGGAAAAACATATTGCACATACAATTCTTTTACTGGGGTATGTTATACAAATGCGAGTAGAATATTTTATGTAGGAGAGTGCATAGAGCCCAGTGTGCAAACATCTAGCACATATGTGGTGGATCTACCACATATTTTTTAAAATTTGGGTTTCTACCACATCTACCACACAAGGCTTAAAATTTACCACATTTTTAGACAGAACATTTGTTTACAATTTTCACATACCTCTAAAATTTTAACTCAATTCTAATAAATATAAAAATTATTCAACAAATTTAAAAAAACGTACATCATAAATTTCACTTTAAATATAGCTGCGCCTTAACTTTTTAATATTTCAAAAGTCCGCATATTTATTTTTAATATTTTTATTGAGCTTTGTACCACGATTGTTTATTAGGAAAAATTGAAAAAGTCTAAGAAGAAGTCTAGAAAAAAAGAAGTCTGATGAGGAGATGTGGTGATCTCCGAAATAGTGCTATAACTTCTACCGCTTAGACTTTGTTTCTTTTTCAATTTTTCCTAATAAACAATCGTGGTACAAAGCTCAATAAAAATACTAAAAATAAAAAATGTTAACAAGCCACAATAACATTGACAAGTCCGCATATTTATTTTCACTGTTGCCAATTTGGTGCTTTTCGTACGAAATTTAGTGCTTTTCTTTATTCAAAACGCGAAAATGTTTAAGTTTGGTGCTTGGTGCGTTTTTTGGTGCTTGTTTTTAGTTTAAAGACACCAAATCTGTAAATCTGTAAAACTCGAAGCTAAAGTACCCGTAATGACAATCGTAAATATATTAGAAATTTTACAAAAATATAAACAAAATCATGGCACAATGGCAATCGTAAGCGAGCATATGTTTGCCAACAAATTTTTGACACCAAAAGATTTTCCCCACTGTGCGCTCAAATAAGAAACATTTAAAAGGGAAATCAAATTTATATACGTTTCAGGTGTCTAGCACTCGGAAAGAAAATTTCTTTATGTTCCTTTAGTTTACGAGATCATAAGAGCCTACAGCGTAAATTTAAACTACTACGTAGTTCATGAAACTTAACTTTTTGTTTTTGCTTTCGTTAGACAGGAATTGTAGAAAAAATTATGCAAAACGAAGAAAAATTTATAAATCATTCTTGGATCTAAGCGAAGCGGCAACGCTGGACACAGCTGCAAATTAGAAAATAAGAACATAAATGTTATCGTCGCTTGGACGAAAATATTTGAATTTATAGAAAACAAAAAAAAATCCGACCGCCGAGCAACATAGACTTTTATTAATTTAAATCATCATCCCAACAAAAATTTTATGCATATAAAGTCCATTAAGTACTCCGATAAAAATTTGGTGTTTTTTTTTATTTATTTATTTATTTATTTATTTGTCTACAGAACTCTTTCTTACAGACTATAGAAATGAAATGAAAGTTTTGAATTGTATCAAATAGGACTTAGTTAAATAAACAAAAAAGATCGAGCTTAAATTGTATAATATTTACACTAAAATCAAGAGCCCCACAGTAGCTATTGCATAATCGAGCACATCGCACGAGAGGTTCATTAAATGCATAATTAGTCTTATTGTTTGACTGAGTAAATAAGCGATTAGTCCTTAAATTATGAGGAGAAATATGACTCTGAAACAGATCCGATAGCTCACAGCAGTTGATATTGCCGTTGATGATGTTATATACAAAAATTAATGAGAAATACGCCATTCTATCGCATAGTGATTGCAGCCCAAGTAATTTGCGGCGCCCTATGTAATGAATATGGTCAATTGGCCAGTCGATCTTATAGATAACCATTTTTGTAAAAACCGTTTGAACTTTTTTAATTTTATTTGCGTGAACCTCATAGTAAGGATTCCATACTAGGGAGCAGTATTCAAGCCGAGATCTGACTAAGGCAACGTAAAGCGACTTCAGAGTGTGAGGGTCTTTAAAATCAGAGGAATTTCTTCTGATGAAACCAATCATTGCGAATGCTTTAGACACAATGTAGTCAATATGTCGTGTGAATGAAAGCATGGTGTCGAAAACAACGCCAAGATCTTTCATCTCGTAGCTACGGCTTATAATACAATTGTTCAAATTGTAACCATAATCAATGAAATTTGGCTTCCTAGTGTAAGTTACAGTGAAACATTTTTTAACATTCAGAAAAAGATTATTTATAGAGCACCATTGTTCGAATGCATGCAGATCGGATTGCAACTTTACGCTATCTGATAAGCTGCGAAGCTCTAGCAGAAGTTTTACGACGTCTGCAAACATCAGACAATTGGCGAACTTGAAATGATTCGGCAAGTCGTTTATAAAAAGAATGAATAGCAGTGGACCACAGTGAGTTCCTTGAGGTATGCCAGACCATGCCTCGACAAAAGTCTTTGATACAGAAGTGCCAATTTTTACGAATAGTTTTCTACCCTTCAGGAAACTAGCGAAGAAATCTAGGAGTTTACCACTTACTCCATAACGCTCCAGCTTATACAACAGTATTGAATGGTCGACCTTGTCGAAGGCCTTTGAAAAGTCAGTGTAAATTACATCTAACTGAGCATGGTTTTTAAAAGCATTTATTATTTGGTTAGTAGCTAAGAGGAGGTTAGAGCAGGTAGAACGCCCAGGGACGAAACCATGTTGGCATCTACATATAAGATTGTCTACATGATTGAAAAGTTTTCTTTGGATTATGTTATCGAATAATTTTGCTATGGTACTCTGTTTCACGATAGGTCTATAGTTACAGACATCGTTGATCCATGAGTCCATAAATACACCATGATTTATACATTTTTTGAATAGCAAGGACAAGAGTGGAGCCATAATATCAGCACATATTTTTAAAAAGTGAGAGGAAAATCCCTCACTATCAGTTTTAAAGCTAGATTTTAAATTAGAGATTGCTTGCAAGTTGCAACATATCTTCCGCACATATTTCGAAAGAAGTAATGGCTTCCACTGGCTGTGGTGGGAGACTATGAAAAGATTTGGTCTCATTCTTTCGTACACTTTCTGGAAAAAGCTTGCAAAAAGCTCGCATGACTCTTCAACCGTCTCAGAAATACTACCCTCATATTCTAAACTGGTTAGGAAGCCAGTTGTTTTCCTTTTTGAGTTAACGTATTGCCAAAAACTAGCAGGATTCGATTTAAGACTAGATTCAACAGAAAACATGTATTGCTTAAATAAAAAAATTGTGAAGGACGTCAAATTCTTTCCTCAGTTTTAAAAATTTCAAACGATCACTTTCTAAATTGCTAGACTTAAACTTTTTGAAGGCTTTGTTCTTTGTGTTCTTTAGATTGCACAGTTTTGAATTAAACCATGGTTGCGCACGATTATGGATTTTACAGGCACAAACTTAGTTATTGCAAGCGAAAGATTCTTACACAACATTTGGTAACAAACTGTGGGATCGTCCGAAGTGCACAAGAACCCCCAGTCAGTTTCTTTAAGGACATTCTTAATTGCAACGTAATTTGCTTTAGAGTAATTAAACTCAGGCGCACGTATGCTCGATATACTGTTGAAGTTATAAAACTGAAAATTAACAACTATAGCTCTGTGGTGTAGCGTATTTTTTGAAATTAGAGTGGCACATTCTTCGCAGGCAATTTTTAAGTTATTAGAAGCGAATATTAAATCTAAGATTCTGCCATTGTTATTTAAAATGGAGTTACATTGTTTAAGACCCTGGGATAATACTGAACTAATAACAAGAATATCTACATCTGATTTGATGTTATAAGGCAGTAGATTTTTGTCATGGTCTAACCATGATATATTGCTTAAGTTAAAGTCGCCTAAGTATATTATTTCATTAAACTTAACTGAATTCGTTATATAACTTAGGTTATCTAAATGTTTCTGATGACGTGCTACATCGTTATGATCAGACATATATGAAAGTAAAAATATAATAGACTTATTATTTGCAAA